AGATAGATAGATAGATAGATAGATAGATAGATAGATAGATAGATAGATAGAATATGGATATGTAGATGATAGATTGAAGACAGATAATAGACAATAGATAGATGATATATAGATGATAAGTTGAAGAGAGATAATATATAGGTAGACTATAAAAGATAGTCAATATATAACAAGTAGATAGACAGATGATAAATGATAGATAACAGACAGGTGATAGATGGTAGATAACAGATATACAAGATTGATAATATAGCCAGGCAGTGGTGGCGCACACCTTTAATCCCAGCACTTGGGAGGTAGAGACAGGAGGATCTCTGTGAGTTTGAGGCCAGCCTGGTCTACAAGAGCTGGTTCCAGGACAGGCTCCAAAGCTACAGAGAAGCCCTGTCTCAAAAAAAAAAAAAAAGATTGATAATACAGATAGATGGTGAAAGATAGACTGACAGATAAACCATACAAAATGATCGATCATACATAAATAAATGTGCAGATAAGCTATATGATTGACAGATGATAGACAGTACATTTGATAGAAATGGATGGTCAGTGAATGGATGGACAGAAGAATGGTGGATAGGTAAATGGTGCATAGGTACATAGTGATGAAGGACAGTAGATGGATGGACAGGCAGATGAATGGTGAATGGATGGATGGTGGCTAGAGGTGGATGAGTGAGAGATTCGTAGGTGATGTATAAATCATTCAGAGATGGATGGATAGATGAATGGAGAGACTGCTAGAAGCTCAAGACCAGTCTAGGCCTACATATGGGGTCCAGGTCAGCCTGGTATATAGAATGAGAAAAGATCAAGAAAGGAAAAAGAGAAGACAAGAAGAAAGGAAGAAGGGAGAAAGGAAGGCTAAGGAGCCTCCCTGGAGCTGAACCATGCCTGGTCTAGGAGAGGCAGGAGCTCAGGACTGCAGCAGACACCACTCGGTTGCTTCCGAGACCCCTTCCCCACCCCGGCTCCAGAGCGACTGAGACACAGCACGCAGCTCTAAGACCTTATGAAGATGAGATGCGACCACTCAGCAAACGCTGCCCCAGTGTCTAGGAGGCACACAGAACACGGTAGAAGAGCAGGCTGGACAGGTGGAGGGACAGAGGGATTTCCTGTCACTCTGTTTCTAGAAAAGTAGAAATGTGTCTCCATACCCCTCGAGAACTGACTCCTGAGAATCAGCAACAGAAAGTCTGATGTCTATGTGACCTTCACTCTGCAGGAGACTGCTGGCTCCTGGCGGCCATTGCCTCCCTAACCCTCAACCAGAAAGCGCTGGCCAGGGTGGTTCCCCAGGACCAAGGCTTTGGCTCCGGCTATGCCGGGATATTTCACTTCCAGGTAAGGAAAGCCTGAGTCTTTGGGTTTGTTTTGGGGGAAGGAGGCTCAGGAGAAAGTGTGTACAGCTTTGTACTGTTGGCAGCTCTGGGAGCTGTGTGCATGAGTCCTATGGTGACCCGTGGGAATCTTCTGGGGGTATTTCTAGAGGCAGCAAGCATCAGGAAAGGAGAAGCACACAGTGTCCTCAGGGAAACCTGGCTGCTCCTCTGGGGAGCCAGGGCATGTCTCATAAGCAGAGCGGTTCCCTTTACTGAGCAAGTGCAGCTGGGGAGCTGTTGGAGGCTTTCAAACAGAAAACTGAGAAACAAGGTCACACAAGCCACGACCTATGTGACAGCTGATGGTGAGGCTTGTCCCAGGAGTCTGATCCTATTGTTGTCTTGCTTCCTCTGCCGATCTCTCCACCTAGGTAAACACACGTGTAATACACAGATGAGCACAATGTACAAACACGTTCATAGGTGTATAGGCTCACATATGTGTGCATTCCTACCTGCATTCATAAACACATACACGCACTAACATGCCTGTGCAAAGACACACATGCTTCTATGCATGCAGGCAATGCATGTTCTTGCCTTATCATACCTGTGGACTCACACACAGTACACCCACATAGATGCGCTAGCTCACATATATGCACACTCACACATGCGTGTACACGCACACACCCACACACATATTTTCACCCCCACATTCACATAAACACATTCTGTCCCACACACAATCACGCATGTGCTCACCCTCTGTACTGGTTTCTCTCCGTCTCTGTGATAGAACCCTTTGATGGAGAAATAACCTAGAGGAGGAAAGGGTTTATTTAGCTTTTACTTTCAGGTCACGGCTCTTCACTGAGGGGAAGTCAGGGCAGGAATTCAAGCAGACACCATGGAGCAATGGTTTGCTCACTAGTGCATGCTAGCTGTCTTACATAGGGCGGGACTGTCTGCGGAGGGCGGGGCCCCCACAGTGAGCTGAGCTCTCCCACATCAGTTTTCAGTCAAGACAAGCTCTCAGACACGGCCACAGGTCAACCCAGTCTGGGCAATTTCTCCACTGCTATGCCCTGAGATGACTCCAAGTTGTGCCGGGCTGACAGTTGATGCCAACTAGAACACCCACACAATGCACATTTAAGGGTATACACACATGAATTAACTCACAAGTGCATGTACATGAACACACACTTCATGCATGCACATGAATACTCACAGACATGTTCACAAACATAAGTATGTGTATAGGTACTCAAGCCCATAAATGCTTATGTTCACACATGCATACACCCAAACAGACTCTCAGGTGCATTACCCATATGACCCTCATTTCTACATGCATGGCACATAGGAAAACCAAGTCCATCCACATTCATGTTGGAGCTCTATCTATGAACCAAGGGGGACTATGCGGGTTGGAAAATGTGGTATAATGAAGGCCAGGACAAGGTAGGAGTGTACACAGAGACAGGGCTGTGTGTGAACAGAGCTGAGCCCATACACCACCCTCCCCTGCCACCTAACCTGGTGTCCTATGAAGAAGATGTGTTAGCTCAGAACACAGATATGTCTACTGTGACTGATTTCTCACCCGCTTCCATGGTGACACAGTCCTGGAATTGAATTTTATGGTGGATGTAAGCCCAGTATATGGCTGAGTGGACAAATCCAGGTAGCCTTGCTGCGACACCTGGGTTACCCTGCTATGACGCCCAGATGACTTTGCCATGACATTCATGTGGCCCTGCGTGTGACACCAGATAAGATTCTCCTTGGAGCACAAGGGAAGTTTGCTCAGAGGGAGGATCCACAGGGTGAGCATTTACCACTAGGGTCACACCTTGGGACTCACCCTGTCACCTCATCTTGCCCTGGCACCAGTTCTGGCAGCACAGCGAATGGCTGGATGTCGTGATCGATGACCGCCTGCCGACCTTCAGGGACCGCCTGGTCTTCCTCCATTCCGCTGACCACGATGAGTTCTGGAGCGCACTGCTGGAGAAAGCTTACGCTAAGTGAGTGGGGCTCCCGCCTCCTGCTTCTGGAGGCCCAGGCTCATCCCCTCACAGGGACATTTGCTGGAAAAACTGATATGGTTAGTAGGGAGGAGTGCTCACATCTCATAGGACACAGGCAGAAAAGCCTGATGCAGCGGTCCACAGGGACGGAACAATTGATGAAATGTACGGCAGGTTAGAGAAAAGCCAGATGCTAGCCTTCAGAGGGCAAGGTTACCCAGCGGTGCGGAAGGACCTATAGCATATGTGGGCGGAGGGAGCTGGAACACAGGGTAGATGCTCTCATCAGAGGCAGAGGTGAGAAGTGTGTGTGTATAAACGTAGGTTATACGTGCAAATACAAAATGCTAGGTTGGCCTTGAACGGCTGTAACCCCAGTGCTGTAGGGAACAGGGGCAGGAAGGTTTCTGGAGTTTGCTGGCCATTGTCCTAGCCCCAGGCTCAGTGAAAGACCCTGTAAGGGAACAAGAAGGAGAGTGATAGACATGACACTTATAACCCTCTCCTGATCTCTGTGTGTGCACACAGGCATATGCATCCATACGCAAATGTGCACATACACAACACCTGCTCACATACATTCTCACACACACACACACACACACACACACACACACATTTCAAGAAGAAGCTGGGCATGGTGATGAATGTCTTTAACCTCAGCTCTGGGGAAACTGAGGCAGGATGATGAACATAAGTTTGAGTCTAACCTGGCCTGCATAGCAAGTTTCAGGCTAGCCAGGATATATAGCAATATTGTGTCTTAAGTTTTTTTTTTCAATTAGAAGCTGAATGTGGTAACTTATTCCTACAGTCTTAGAACTGGGGAATCTGAGACAGAAGGATTGCTATGAGTTTGAGGCCCACTTGGTCTATGGAATCAGAGCCTATCTCAACAGAGAACAATAAGAAACCATCCCCGTTGTGGAATATTTAACTATATAACGATGTGCTGCATTTTTTAACTGTGTAAGGATGTGTTGCTGTTTTATCTTGCCTGCCTAAAGGCACCTGATTAATCTAATAAAAAATTGAATGATCAATACAGAGGGAGGAGATATAGGTGGAACTTCCGGGCTGGGCAAGTAAGTAGGAGAAGGAATTTAGGCTTGGGGAAGAAAGAAAAGAAATGCCAGGGAGATGCCAGGGAGACTTCAGGGGCCAGCCAGACACAGAGGAAGCAGGAAAGTGGGAATATAGAATGAAAGAAAAGTTAAAAAAAAAAACCCGAGGCAAAACGTAGATGAATAGAAACAGGATAAATTAAACTTAAAAAGCTAGTGGGACAAACCTAAGCAAAGATTGAGCATTCACAACTAATTCATCTCTGTGTCTTTATTTGGGGAGCTGGTTAGCAGTCCAAAGAAAATTCCAGCTACAAATCTCAGCACTTAGGAGGCTGAGGCAGGAGAACAAACCAAAAAGTGAGCAGTTTAAACACACAAAGCATGTTCAGCAGGAAGACTGTGGGAGAACTCTACAGACTCCTCCCCTTGCCAGCCTCGGTTGCTCAGCTGCCTGGTGCCCAGGGCTTGCCCCACTACCAACCACTGCCTTTCCTCACAGAGTCCGGCTTGCGCTCTGCGGACTGAGCAAACCCTCTCTCTGTCCCCCGACCCTCTCAAATCCACTCTTCCATCTTCGTAGGCTTAACGGGAGTTATGAGGCACTGAAGGGGGGCAGCACCATGGAGGCCATGGAAGACTTCACTGGGGGTGTGGCCGAGACCTTCCAAATGCGGGAAGCTCCAGAGGACTTCTGTGATATTCTGGAGAAGGCCTTGAAGCGTGGTTCCTTGCTGGGTTGCTCCATAGATGTAAGTGGCTGGCTGGCCATCTAAGCACCAACAGGCAGAAGCGGCAACCCAGAAGGGACTTGGGTATCTGGAAGATGGCCATCTTTAGTTAACACACAAGGTGGTAGAACACTTGCCTGGCTTACAGGCAGCCCTGGGACCCGTCCCCAACACTGTATAAAAGAAGGTGGCAGGAGACTCAGAAGTTCAAAGTCATCTTCCACTCCATAACTGGAGGACGGGCTGGGATACGCCAGATTGTCTCAAACAAACAAGCAAACGCAAGCTTTTATTTAATGCTTGTTGGGCTGCAAAAGGCAAATATCCCTGCAGCCAAGTGAGGCTGTTTAGACGTGAGGTCTGGAAGCGCAGGGTCTCTGTCTCCTATCAAACCCAGGGCTGCTCCCCCATCAGCACAGCAGCACAGCAGTCAGGGCGCTGGCTGTGCTCAGCGCCAGTGCTGTCACACTGCTGCACATCAACGCTGACATCATCCCACCCAAGGGACCCTCCGGTGTGCTTTTCTGAAATGTGTTCCTTTTACTTTCTATGCCATGAAAAAAAAGCCACCAGATAGAAAGCCAACAGCGTTTTTCTAATTCCTCTGTGCCCTGGGACACATATGCAGGTATAATTTCACGCCCTCTGCTTTTGAAAGCTTCTCAAGTTTCCCCTTTCTTTTTAGATTAACTATAAAAATCCGGGTTTTTGTAAACACTTCTCCTGCAGATTCATGTTTTGTGACCAAATCACGTCACCAGGGTTTGCCTCTCCTGTGTCACTGTGGGGCCATTTACCCATCTATAACCAGGGTGGCTAGTTTCTGTTTGGAAGTAGAAAAGTAAACTCATTTCAATCTATGGGGTTGTCATTTCCCCCACCCCCCGACACCTTTGGAAGAGATTGGTCATGCTGTCTATCACTGATGAACCTATTAGGGCATCCTGCACCCCAACTTCTAAGACGTATACATACATGGTTGTCCTAGTGGAACTGAGGACTGGGGTGTGCGAGCTGGGCCTAGGCCTGGGGCTAGGGCCGATTCGGGGAGTCCGGGTCAGAGGATGGGTATGACCCTCTGGTCTTCCTTTGTTCTAGATCCTGGATGCCTCTGAATCTGAAGCCCGCACACCTTTTGGTCTCATTAAGGGCCACGCCTACACTGTGACTGGGCTGGACCAGGTAGGGGTGGGGTCCACTTCAAGAGACTGAGGTTGGGGAAACAGGACAACACCGGTCTTCAGATTTGCTGTGAGCAGAGAACTACCTAACACAGGTGGGCTGGGGTGAAACACAGCAGGCAGGAACCAGAGAGCAGGCAGATGATCTCACTCCGAACTCACCGTTTGGGAATTGCAGTTGGTCTGAGTTTACGGTTCTTTGTTTGGTTAATTGGTTGCTTGATGGTTTTTGGAGACAGGGTTTCTCTGTGTAACAGCCCTGACTGTCCTAGAACTCACACTGTAGACCAGACTGGCCTAAAACTCACAGAGATCCACATGCTTCTGCATTCTGTCCACAGACAAGGTGCTTGCTCATTTCTGAACATGAGATTTCTGACAGGAGTTGGCTTGGATGATTACATAGCTGTGAGCTCCTAAACTCTGAGGCTTGAATTGTTTCCTTTTTTCTTGTCTGAGATAGAATCTCACGTACTCTAGGCTGGCCCTGGACTTGTTATATTGTCAAAGATGGTCTTGAAGTTTTGGTCCTCGGGCTTCTACCACCCAAGTGCCTCAGTTATGAGACTACAGGTGTGTGCCACCACACCTGGTTTCTGTGGTGCTGGGGATCAAACGCAGGGCTCTGTGCATGCTAAGCAAGCTCTACCAACTGAGGCACATTCCTGGCTTATTTGGATTCTTCTTACATGTCAAAATACAACTCTCATTCAGCGGGTGACAATAAACTGATATAAGATTTCTGGTTAGTTGATACCTCCTAGCCTCTAAATCCTTTCTCAGAGTCTCCAGAGTCTCCCTTTCCTACCAAGGCCTCAGGAATGGCCGACTTGCCTCCTACTGGCTCAGGTTTACCCACACCAACACCAAGAAGAATCTTCTCTTGACCAAAGCTGGAGAACCATGGATGTGAGATGCAGCATTCTTCCTTTATCGTTGCTGCTGAACCTCCTAGCATGTAGTGTTATCATCTAATTAAACTCCCAGCACACAGAATTACAGCCTAATCGAACACTGGGAGCAGGCAGTTACTCCATGAACTTCCGAGGACGGCTATGCATCATTTCCTGGGCAGATACTAAAGGGGCGCAATATGGGACCTAGGATCTTTGTGGGCTCTAGCCTAATGGAAAACTCATTCATGTGGAGATGGAGCATTTTCCTACTAACTAGATTCCCTTCACAGGTATGGCATGGCCCTTCTATAAAGGATGGTTCAGTATTCTTTTTAGAAAGAAAGTTCCAAGGGCTCGTTAAGAATGGATGAGTTGAACCAGGTAGTGGAGGCACACACCTTTAATTCTAGCACTTGGGAGGCAGAGGCAGGTGGATCTCTGTGAGTTTGAGGCCAGCCTGGTCTACAAGAACGAGTTCCGTGACAGGCTCCAAAGCTTCAGAGAAACCTTGTCTCAAACAACCAAAAAAAAAAAAAAAAAAAAAAAAGGATGAGTTGGCACTGGAGGGAGAGATGACTCAGTGGTTAAGAGCACTGGCTGCTCTTCCAGAGGACCCAGGTTCAATACCCAGCAGCCACATGGTAGCTTACAGTGGCCTATAATTCCAGTTCCAGGGGACCCAACATCCTTATCCAGACATACATGCCATACATACAGGCAAAACACCCCAATGCACATAAAAATAAACAAATCACTTTTTTAAAAAATATTTTTATGGTTTATTTAACTTTATTTTATGTGCATTGGTGTGAAGGTGTCAGATCCCCTGAAACTGGATCTTCAGACAGTTGTGAGCTGCCATGTGGGTGCTGGGAATTGAACCCGGGTCCTCTGCAAGAACAGTCAGTACTCTTAACCACTGAGCCATCTCTCCAGCCCCAACAAATCACTTTTTAAAAGTTTAAAGAAAAATGCTAGCACTTATTTTTTATTAAAAAAAAAAAGTGAAATCTGCCTACCCAGTCAGGCCATAGTGGCATACACCTTTAATCCCAGCACTCGAGAGGCAGAGGCATCTCTGAATGGATCTCTGAGTTCAAGGCTAGCATTCTAGGAGAGCCTGGTCTACAGAGCTAGTTCCAGGGTGGTCAGGACTACACAGAGAAACCCTGTCTTGAAAACAAACAAACAAAAAGAATGGCTAAGTCAAGGCCAGAGAAAGGGCTTAGCAAGTAAAAGCCCTTGCCACACAAACAGCCCACTGACAAGCGAGTCCCACTGCCAGCTCCCATGGTGGATGGAGAAAATCCGCTCTCAAAAGTTGTCTCTGACCTCCACATGTGCACCGTGGTATTCCTGTGTCTGCACACAGAGACACACACACCAAGAATAAAATAAAGTGTAAAACAAATGGATGGGGCCACCTGGGGTGGCATTGCACATCTGCTACCCCAGCATCCTGTTACTCCAGCAACGGGAGGCTGATGCCAGCCTGGGTTACACAGCAAGCTCGAGATGAGCCTGGGTGCTTAGTGAGACTCTGTCTCAAAAGAAAATGAATTTCTCACCAGGCCTGGTGGTACAGGCTTATAATCCTAGTACTTAGGAAGCTGGGACAGGAGTGTGGGAAATCGGAGGCCAGGATATAGAGAAACCTGTCTCGGAAAAGCAAGGAGTGGGCCTGAAGGAAGACAGGCGTTTGGGCAGCACGTCTCCAGTGTGTTTTACCCATGAGCCTGAATAATGTCACCACACATAGAAACGGACCCGGGTCCCATGGATGATAAAAGCCAACGTCAGGCTCATCACACCATGTTTCCTTGACACTTTTTCCTTTGAGGTGAATTTCCAAGGCCGGAGAATCAAGCTCATCAGAGTCCGAAACCCTTGGGGCCAGGTGGAGTGGACCGGGCGCTGGAGCGACAGGTGAGAGGCTCTGTTCCTTCTTCGTGGCCAGCTCCACGTGTCTGGAGACCTGTGCAGAACTCCCTGGTTCTTCCCTTCAGGCCTCACTTAGGATACCTATGTCAAACTTGACCCTGTATAAACAACTCTCAGGGTAGCTCTTTCACCGCCACGCAGTCACATTTGCGGATAGTTACGGCCACTGGGGTATCAAGAAAGGACTTTGACTCCATTTACGGGAATCCATGTATGCATGCGTACGGGGGTGAGTGTGCATGTGTGTTTTGAGGCTGGGAATCCCTGAAACACTGCCAAACAGGTCACTCTACGGCTCTTTCTGGTAGTCATTGATCTCTGGCGAAAGCCCACAGAGAAACAGAAGTAGAACAGGAAATTGGCCCATTACTAGACTCTGAAAATTTGGGAAGGCTGGCTTTCCAGGCTGTCCCCACCAGTCCCAGGGACAGTGGTCAGGTGACTGGAATTGAGAAGACACAGCCTCTCCACAGCCCGGCAAGACTCTGCCCTGCTCAGAGATCAAGGAGACCGGTTAGATTTGGACCAGGACAGTAAAGGAAGGGCAAGATGGGCCTCCCTCTGCTGGTGGAAACGGGGAGAACTGAGACAGAGCGAGACCGGAATTCACAAGAGTGACATTGAAACTAGAATTAACATGAGAGCACCAGTCTATACAAGGAAGCTGCCATTTTCCCCCCTCTGAAACTCAGGCTGAAGGAGAAGCAGAGACTGCAGTTGGAGAAGGACAGAGGCTGTCTGCCCACAAAGCAGGTGGCACGACCATTCTAGTCCCTTGGGGTCCTATGCTGCCACATCAAAGGCCTTGCTCAGCTCCCCGTCATTGAATGCGTCCCGCTTTGGGGATGACTCAGTGAGTCAACAGAACCCTCAGTTCTCTCCTCTGTCCTGTTGGGGCCCTCCCTGGATGCCACGAGCCCTGCCTAGCCCTGCCACACTGTCACCAAACCACAGCAGAAGGGATGAGATTTAAATGACAGCCACCCCCTCTGCCTGAGGTTTCACCATCCAGAGTTTCAGTTAAATATGGTCAACTGAGGTCTGAAAACACAGTATCACATGGAAAATTCTTCTAAATATCGACTGTCTAGAATAATATTAGCTATCACATCGGTCCTAGTGGTGTGATGAATTCTACACTGTACACACCACTGTGTTGTGGTCTATTGCAGTGTGTGTTCAAGTAACCTGATTCTACTCAGTGATAACCCCAAGTGTTAGAGTAGTGACACTGGCCACTTAGACAGACAGAGGAATCAGAAAATGCAACCTTCGTGTGAAAATATAAAAGTGCTTAGCTTAATTAGGAAAGAAAAACAGTGTATGTTGGGATTTCTAAGATCTACAGGATAATTAGAGCAATAGATGATAGATAAATAATAGATGGATAGATGGATGATATATAGAAGATAGATAGATAATAGATAGATAGAAGATAGGTAGATAGATAGATAGATAGATGATAGTATATGTTAGATGGATAGGTGGTGAATGAATTGATGGATAGATGAATAAATTGATGAGTAGGTGATGGATGAATGGATGATGGATAAATTGCTGGGTTAGATAATGGATGGATGATAGATGAATGAATGCACTGATGATGAATAATGGAAAAATATATTAATGGATGGATGCATAGATGATTGATGGATGCATAGATGATGGACAGATTGGTAGATGATGGGTTAAAATGAGTACATAGATGGCATACGGATTGTCAGACAGAGAGATGATGGACTGATGGATGTGGAAGGTAATAAGTGGATGGGTAGATAATTAATGGATGGATAGATAGATGATGGTTGAAGAATGAAGGTACAGATGATGGGTGAATAGAACAAAGGAAGATGGGTAGATAGATGGTGGATTAGTGGACGGGTCCATGCTGGATGGGTGGGTGATGTGTGAATGCGTGGATGGGAAGAGGGTAAATAAATAATATAGGTGGATCAGACAGATGATAGATAACACATTCACACAATATTTGTCACACCATGTGACAGAACCAGGTGTGGACTGCCCTACTTTAGTATTAGACATTGCTGCTAAATGCTTCCTGTGTCTATTTAGAAACCAAGCTTTCACCATCTGTGTATATATAAGAAAACGTGTATAGGACCCTGTTCTCACGGATTTGCCAGCCCTTGGGGAATCCCAGAACCTACCCCAGGAAGGCTAGGGAGCCTGCTGGTTAGAAGACAATGAGGGAACCCAACACACACAGCACTGAGACCGGAATGCCAAGCTTGAGCGAGGTGTCTGCGTTTCTCCTTGGCAGCTCCTCTGAGAGTGAGCACTAGGTCTACTTGAGCCTTCCGGTTGGGGCCTGAGGTTGGACTCAGCCACAGAAGACCCTTCCTGAGTTCCCGGTAACGTAAAGGAGGCACTTGGTATTTCAAACGGCAACCACAGGAGTTAGAAGCACTACCCGCTGACAGTTTATAGACAGGGAGGGCTTTGGCTTGTTCCAGGCTGCAGGCAGGCTGTGAGTTAGGGACATGCATGAACCGTGACCTCCAGCGGGGCTACCGTGTCAGTTCCTTGTGACTGGCCCACAGTGACCTATGAAGGAACTGTCTACCAACAACACCTTTTCGCCATCGTCACGTTGGAGCCGGCAGTGAGCTGGCCTCATGACCCTGGGCCCAGTGAGTCTCACTGAGCAGGGTACGATCCCTACATTATGCACATAGGGTTGGTGTGACTCCAGGGTGATGGCCCTGAACCCAGGCTGAACTGTGGCTCTGATCTTTCAGCTCCCTCGAGTGGCACTCTGTGAACCTGGAGGAGCAGAAGCGCCTGGGCCACTCTGCACTTGACGATGGGGAGTTTTGGTAACGGCGTCCTTTCATCGGGGTCATGTATCCAACAACCACCCCCCTTTTCTCCCTTTCCTTCCTCATCCCCTTCCCTCTTCCCTCTGTCTTTTTCCCTGTCTCCATCCTTCTGGGAGGGACCCCAGGAGTGTCCCCCTCCCCAGGAAGAGAGTCAGGAGGTTGACCGTGCAGACAGCTGCTGTTATGATGCCCGATAACGCGTCCTTGCCTCTGTCTCAGGATGGCATTCGAGGACTTCAAGGCCCATTTTGACAAAGTGGAGATCTGCAACCTCACACCTGATGCCCTAGAAGACAATGCCCTCCACAAATGGGAGGTGACTGTCCACCAAGGAAGCTGGGTTCGTGGCTCCACGGCTGGTGGCTGCCGCAACTTCCTGGGTAGGTGGCCTCTCTGTCCTTCTGCCTCCTATTCCCATATCCAATCTAGCTGGGGACATGGAAGGGGCAGTCTCTGTAGAGCTGGACAGCGAGCTCAGAGGATGACAACTGAGTCTCAGGCAGGAAGCTGGCAAGAGACACCCAGGGAAATGCCCTGTTGTAAGGTTCAGGGGACACAGCCATAAGTCACACCACGCTAGTGGGGGAAAGGATCTACTGCCCCACAGAGAAGTGGGGGCAGGCATCAGAGCCTTAAAGGGCTGTGTGGGTAATGGTTGAAGAGGTGGAGGAGGCAGAAGACAGGAGTCTAAATACTGCTGAGGGTAAAGAAAGTAGGGCGAGAGGACCAAAGGAAGCAGAAAAGAAAGAGACCATCTCTTCAGGACTGGAAGCAAACAGCGGGGGTGCAGTAGAGAGCGTATATGTCCTTCTGAGTGTGGGTCTCGTCATTTTGGGCTTTATGTTAGTGTTATGAGTGCTCACATGTATGAGCCCATGTGTTAGGTTTTTATTTGATTTTGTAATTTTTTTTCTGCATACTCATGTGAGTTGAGAGACAAAAGACAGCCTTGACTGTGACTCCTCAAAGTCACTGCCTTGTTTTTAAGGCAGGGTCTCTCACTGGCCAGAAGCTCATCAAGGAGGCTAGGCTGGCTGGTCAGTGAGTGCCAGGAATCTGCCTGGCTCCACATCCGCAGCTCTAACTGCGTGCGCTATACCCACCTCGTGTTTTCACTTATCACATTTATTTAGTGTGTGTATACATACCCGTGTGCATGTGTGTGCAAACATCCATGTGCCTTCCATGGTGCACCAGCGGAGGCTGGAGGACAGCTTCTGGGAGTGGGCCTTCTCCCGCTGTCTTGTGGTCTCAGGTCATCAGCTTTGACAGAAAATGCCTTTCTCCACTGAGCCGTCCTGTTGAGCATTTTGTTTATTCTTTATTTTGTTTCATCTTGTCATCTGAGCTATGATTTTGCATTTTTAAGGAAGGGATAGTAATCCATCCCCTTTCAAATGCAGACACCTTCTGGACCAACCCACAGATAAAGCTGTCCCTGACCGAGAGGGATGAGGGCCAGGAGGGCTGCACTTTCCTAGCTGCCTTGATGCAGAAAGACCGCAGGAAGCTCAAGAGGTTTGGCGCCAACATGCTGACCATCGGCTACGCCATTTACCAGGTAGGGGACCAGCTGCTCTCAGTGTCCCTGCAAGGACTTTGAGTTCCTTGTTGCTTCTGAACTCTGGGTCACAGTAAACAGCCAGTTCTCCAGCCAAGTTGAGTATGGAGACCAGAGTCATGTCTCCCTGATGACCACTGCTTTCACCTTGCAGTGCCCGGACACCGACCAGGACCAGGATGGACACCTGAGCAGGGACTTTTTCAGGTACCACGCCTCCCTGGCCCGAAGCAAGACGTTCATCAACTTGAGAGAAGTGTCGGGTCGCTTCCAGCTGCCCCCAGGAGACTATGTCCTCATCCCCAGCACCTTTGAGCCGCACCAGGAGGCTGACTTCTGCCTGAGAATCTTCTCTGAGAAGAGAGCAGTTACCTGGTGAGGAGTGGGAGCTGCAGAGCCCACAACTCTTAGAGCGTTGTCTGTGAGCGAGGAGAGCCAAGGCAGCAGGAGCCTGAAGAGCAGAGAGAGATGACTGCCGCTGCTCAGGAGGCTTTGTCCTTTCTGTGCAGTTCAGGACCCAACCCCAGAAGGAATAGTGCTGAGCAGGCCGAGCGGCTGGTCTCTGACAATGCTGTCTCCTCTGGAGGCAGAGCTTGTGGATTTTTAGAGGAGCCCCTGTTCTGGAGAACACCCCAAGAACCCTCTTGGAGTGTGTCTGAAAAGCTGGTGCTGTCATAGTCTCCTGCTTTCACATGCTCAGGATCGCTAGCTGCCCTTGGGATCGCGCCAGTCTCCTCTCCAGCACTCTGGGCAGGGTTGAAAGGCTGGGGATGCGGTGTTGGTGCAGACAGGGGTTGCCAACCCCGTGAGACACAAGCGACACTGAACAAGAGGGCTCTGACAGGCGAGAACCCTTCTGTAGCTCAGGTCCCAGGAGATGCATGCTCACAACTAAGATGCTGCGCTTTCTGCCGCTGCAGGGACCTGGATGAGAATGTAGACATTGATCTTCCTGAGGTGAGTCCTCTGGTGTGGCTGGGGAGGGAGGGGTTCAGCTGAAGGTTCTAGAACTCTTCTTTGAAACCACAGGAGCTGGCTGCTTGCAGCGAGGTAAGCATTCTCACTGGCTCTCACCCGGAGGTCAGGGCTTTGGTTTCTCATCCCTCACAACACCCGTAGGACTAGGCAGGGGCCAGGCAGGGGCTTGGGATAAAGTTCTCTCAGGACCATCTTTCTTTGGGCTTCCCATTCCGCCGAGAGGCCTCTGCTAATTGTTAAAGAAGTGAAATGACTTCAGATTTACTCATTTAAGAAGATAGCTGAGGTGGGGCACACTTGTGATTCCAGCACTTATGAGGTGGGGGCAAGAGGCTCAGGAATTCAAGGCCAGTCTTGGCTACTGGGTAAAGTTAAGACCTGCCTGGGACATACAAGGCTCCATCTCAAAACATACACACAAAAAAGTAAGATAAAGGAAGGAAAGGAAGGAAGGAAGGAAGGAAGGAAGGAAGGAAGGAAGGAAGGAAGGAAGGAAAAAAAGGAAGGAAGGGAAGAAAGAAGGAAGGAAAGAAAAGAAGGAGGGGGAGGGAGGAATAGAAGAAGAAGGGAGGGAAGGAGGATAGAAAGAAGGAAGGACAGAGGGAGGGAAGTGAAGGAGAAGGAAGGAAAGAAAAAAGGAGGGAGAGAGATGAAAGGAGAGGGGAAGAGGAATGGAAGAAGAAAAGAAAAGAAAAGAAAAGAAAAGAAAAGAAAAGAAAAGAAAAGAAAAGAAAAGAAAAGAAAAATGAGACCGGTTGGTTTGGAGAACACAGGACTCACTGTGGGGGCTGTGAGATCTTAAAAAAGATATGCTTAAAACCTATCTATTCATGTGCACATGTCTGTGTCATATATGCATCATAAAAGTAGAAGGGGGGCTAACCAAAAAGAGGAAGGGATCTAGCAGGGAGAGCAGCGGAGGCTAATGGAGAAATTAATAAGGTCAAAGTACATAATATGCTTGGATCAACATGTCATTGTGAAATCCAAAGCTGCATAATAAATATTGGCTATGTGAGGGGTGAGGGAAGACTCCAAAGTGTTCTGAAACGGTCCGCATGTCCATGGGCAGCAGAAACCCGCTTCGGGGAAGGCCTGCTGCTCTGTGTTGCGCCTTAGGACTGTGGTTTATTTATTTATTATTTTTTAAATATACATGGGCAGCTGGTATATGGCGGTTCTGTTGAACTTGTCTGTATGGGTTTCATGGTCTAAGTTGATGAGGACAACTGACCAGGTCTCTTCCTCAAGAGGACACCAGACCTCATTACAGATGGTTGTGAGCCACCATGTGTGGTTGCTGGGAATTGAACTCAGGACCTTTGGGCCAAAATCTACTGCAGAGCAAAATACCTGAAGTGTACTGAGCCATCTGCCTGCTTTGGGTGCTAGTGACAGACTTGGAAGGTGACTATCAAGAGGGATAATAGATCAGGAGATGAGGCTGAAGCCTGGCAGCCCTGTGCCAAGCTGACAGGCAGGCCCAGACACCCTTAGCCTTCTCATTCATGTTAAGGGAGACTTACGGAGTACAGAGCTCCCACTCTGGACAACTGCAATGAGTTCGCTCAAGCTAAGCTTCATGTTCCTGAGATGAAACCAAGTTGTTCATCTAGCTTTGAAAGATCAGGAAATGCCGGATGAACCTGCAGGACAGCTCTGGTCATGTGACTGAAAAGGTCCGCTTTTCTAGCCCCCATGTGAAACTCTCTGGAGCAGCTTGATGCTGGCCAGCATGTTCCGTGCTGGGCACTTCCCGTTCTGTTCTTTTGTTGTGTGGGGATTGAACCAAGGACCTCCCACATGCGAGGGAAGAGCTCTGCTGGCTTTTCTTTCAGGGACAGCCTATAGTGTCCAGTGTGGGGCTCCTCTTTTCTGCTATTTATGTGGAAAAGCAGGTGTCTGGCTTCTCTTCTGTGAGTTCCTCTCTGACCTTTACACAACCTCATCTGATTCTTTCAGCCCCCAAAGCCAACTCCACAGGAGGAGGAAACAGAGGAGGAGAGGCAGTTTCGGGCCCTGTTCCAGCGAATTGCCGGTGAGGTAGGATACAACTGTCTTGGTCCCCTCTACACTCTGACCCTGGCTAAGGGCCTGCTCTGGGTTCCCAGCAGAGGACTGTGATCATGAGCTTGTCAATAGTATTTCCCCAGGAGGATTTCCAGGCTAGAAGGGTATCTCTAAAGAAAACTAAACAGGATCTGCTAAGATAGTTTAGCAAGTATAAGCACTTACCATGAAAACCTGTTGATCAGAATTTGTTTCCTAGAACCCAGGTAAAGGTGGCACTTACCATGAAAACCTGTTGATCAGAATTTGTTTCCTAGAACCCAGGTAAAGGTGGCAGGAGAGAGCCAGCCCTCCATACATCTCTCTCTCTCTCTCTCTCTCTCTCTCTCTCTCTCTCTCTCTCTCTCTCTCACACACACACACACACACACACACACACACACACACACACACTACAACACAATCTACTTTGAAGTGCCTGGGCCTCCTAGAACCTCAGACTTACTTCCATGGCTCCAGTAACACCAGCTTTGTAGATGGTGGAGCTAGTTGCTCTCTTAAACTGACAATTCCACAATTGACCCCTAGAGGTTTTATATTAACCAGTGAAGTGTGTCCTAGTCTCCTGCCTTGACCAGCAGGTGAGACTCCCATACGTGAACTGTTTCCATGTTTCCGGTTCTCTGCGTACTCCTGTGAGGAGGTACGAGGACCTGCTGTCTCTCCTGGGGCAGATGGCCCTCCCCCTGAGAAAACCCTGGGTTGCAGCCACCATGGAGGTGAACTCAGCTGCCAGCACAGTGTCCTCAGGGCCATTCTCTCCAAGGAGCGAGGTCCAACTTGGGATGCTAAGGATCGTGAAGAGCAATTGTCTCTACTCCACAGGACATGGAGGTTTCTGCTGAGGAGCTTGAGTATGTTTTAAATGCTGTTCTGCAAAAGAGTAAGTGTCATTCCCACAGGGTACAGGGGAGAGGAAGAATAGCCACACTATCAGGGCTCACCCAGGCCCTGCTCCTTAGAGCCTCAGACCTGCTCGCCATGGCTGACCTGTATGTAGACTGTGGAAACTGTTCTCATTGCTGATTTCCCAACTGCAGAAGTGATGCAGGCTTCTGCTAGAGTGTTCTGTACATTTTCTACAGAAAAGCTAGTGGCAAAGATAAAATCCATCACACATCTGGACCCCAAGTAACCACTGCCACTGTGTGTGTGTGTGCATATGTGTCTATGTGCCTTGTCTGTGCTGGGCATGTGTGCGTGTGTGTTATCTGTGCTGTATGTCCACTTGTGTGTACATGTGTATATGTGTCTATGTTTGCACATGTGTGTATAAAAAGTCCATTCCAGGACATTTTTGCCACAGCAGTCATATCCAGCTCTGGTAACCTCTCAGCTGCCTTCTGTCTTAGACCTGACATTCTGGGCATTTCATATAAAAGAACCATGCAATTTGTGGTTGTTACTGGATTCTTACACGTGGAATACTGGTGCGCATGTGTGTATGTGTCTGTGTGTCTGTGTGTGGTGTGTTCACATGTACAGGTGTGCACCTGCATGCAGAGCCAGACAGCAACCTCATATATGGCTCCTCCTGTCTTGTTTGTTTGGACAGAGTCTGTCATTGACCTGGGACTCACCAAGTAAACTAGTCTGGCCAGCCAGAGAGCCCCCAGGGTGCCACCTCCCCAGTGCTGGGATTACAAATTCATGCCAGTGCTTCTGATTTTTTTGTTTTTTGTGTGGGTTCTGGAGAATTGAACTTAGATCTTCATGCTTATAGGGCAATAACTTCACTGCCGGAACCCTCTCCCTAGCCCTTGTTTTTATTTTTTGAGACAGGGTCTGGCTAAACGCCTAGACTGGCCTCAAATTTGCATTCCTCCAGCCCAGGATCTTGAATGCTGGGATTAAAGGCACATTGTACACCCAACTACCTCTACCAGCTATGTATGAATATCAAATTTCTTCAGCACTTTTGGGAGTTTTTTGTTGTTGTTGTTTATTTGATTGTTTTTTGTTTAAAACCAGATCTCTCTTGGGCCGTGATTGACCTGGAACTCGCTGTGATTCCCCTGCCTCTGCCTCCCTAGTGTGGGGATTACAAGCATACACCACCGCATTCAGCTCCTCTGCTATTTTAAATCCTACCCTTTGAACGTGTGTGAGCTGGTCATTAAAGAGCACTTGGGAACAGCGGGCTACTGTGTGGTTGCTGTTAGCTCACGTTACTGTTCCTTGCTAGCCATTTCTAAAACTTCTAAATACCCTTTGCTGTTATAGACAGGATGCTGATTGGGCTGGAGGGATGGCCCAGTGGTTAGGAGCTGCCCTTGCAGAGGCCCAGAGCTGGGTTTCCAGCACTAGAGTTAGGCCGCTCATAATCTCCTGTAACTCGAGCTCCGGGCCACCTCATGCCCTCTCCTGGCCTCCACAGGCACCGGTGCAAACACATGCACAGACAAACCCACATACACACAAATCAAAAGGAAACACACCTTTAATAAACAGGCAAATGATAAAAAATCTTAGGATTCCTCGTGCTAAAGTATATGCGTGAGAACAGGCCCATCTTTAAGGCTTTCTGCACAGATTGACAGCCTTTCTTCCAGAAGTCCAATCCCTGCTCTCAGCATCCCTAGACAGTGTCCACATGATGGTCCCAGGGAGTCTGATCTAAATACACCGTGGACTCTCAGAAGAATAGGGGGTAAATTTGTCTTGTCGGGGTCATTGATCGCACAGCTTCCCGTGTGATTGCAGAAACAGCCCTCAAGTTCAAGAAGCTGAGCCTGCTGTCCTGCAGAAACATCATCTCTCTGATGGACGTATCCTTTCTATGAACCGATCCCCCTGAGCAGGGGTGTCCTAGGTGCTCACTGTCCCGGGGTCCCC